CCACTCGCATTTTAACCTCCTCTCTTTGTTGATTTCTTTCTCTCTTTATTTCTCCTCCTTCTCTTTGTCCCCTTCCCCCAGTTTTCCCATCCGTGCGCTTCACCGGGAGCGTGCACAAAGCCCGCCGGTGTCCTGGCAACCAGCGCGCCGTCGCCGCCGCCCCGTCGGCCCCGGCAACGGGCCGTCGTCAGGGCTGCGACCCCTGACCCCCGGCACAGCTGCTCAGCCGCCCCGTATCCCACAATCCCCTGCTCCCTGCTCATTCCCGTGACCGGGGGGGTCAGGCCGGGGAGTCAGAGGTGAATGAAAGCGCACCGCTTTCACTCTGTCCAGAAAGCAACTTCTCAAAAAAAAAAAGAAAGAAAGAAAGAGGAGGAGAAGAAAATGAGATGACTGGGAAAATGGAGGGAGGAGTAGAGTGAAGGAGAAGGATGGGGGAGAGGGGAGGAGGGGGAAAAAGGACGAGAAATATATGGGAAAATCAGAGACTACAGAGAACTACTAAGAAATAACATTTATAGGTCATTAGAAATGAAAAGAAATGGAAATTAGACGACAAATGTTTGGAGAGGAAAGAGATTAAGGAAAACTTTACAAAAAAGAGAGAAACCAATGAACCAGGTAAAGAGATACAGACAAGAAAAACTTATCTAAAAAAGAGGATGATGATTATAGAGACAAGGAAGGAAAGAAGGAGAGGTGGGAAAGGAAAGGAGGATAAGGAAAGGAAAAAAGGGTTAGGAAAGGAAAGGAAAGGTAAGGAAAGAAACTGGAGGGAAGGAAAGAAAAAAGGAAAGGAAACTAAACAGAAAGAAAAGGAAAGGAAAGGAAAGGAAGAAAAGGGAAAACGAAGGAAGTGGGAAATGTTATTTAATCAGGAGATTTTGCAGAAAAATTAGACTAAAAATGTTAGAGAAGTTGGATATCATGCAGTGATAATTAGAGGGGGGTGCTTTAATTACAGAGCTTACGGAGACTTTAATGATTCTTAATAATCCAGACCTTGTTTCCTACCTGCCGTGGCCAAAATGGACCATCATGCTTTGGGGCACAGCTCCAACACAGAGCTAACGGGCCATGCTAACAGTAGCTAGCATCGACTATAAAACTCCCACAACCCAACCGTGAGCTGCCTCCTCTCCCGGAGACTCGGGAGTTTGGAAAAAAGTGGAGAATCTCTGGGGTTTTGTGTGGATCTGCCCACATTAAAGCTACACAAACCAGACCCAGGGACAGAAAAAGGGCCTGTTAGCTAAAGCCTAGTGCGCCTGTCATTGTGTCAGAGTGTGTGTCTGTGTGTGTGTGTCTGTGTGTGTGCATGCCTTCTGGTTCCAGGTGCTGCCCTCAGTGTAAACCGAGCTGGTCTTTATGAATAAATAATGCCTCTGAAGCTTCCCGGGACAGGTGCTCCGGCTCATTCTGCCGCTCGCCTCCCGGAGGACGCACAGACACACAACCAGGCCAATCCGACCGACGCACAACGCCAGAGTCGGGGGTTTCTCTGGCTCTTCCCGCCTCCACTTCTGGGTTTTTCTTTTCCTGGAGAGACCATGAATCCGGAGTAGTAAGTGTCCTGTGTGGTGGGTTTGTTTGGGAAGCGAGTCGTGTCCCGAGTTATTCTCCGTTTTCTTCCTCGTCTTTAGTAATCTGACCAAAAAAAACTAACTAACTCAGTGTAGAAACACCAGAGAAACTCGGTCTCCATCCGGATATCCTGTTTTCTTTTGGGTTTGTTTGATATCGATGACCTCAGACAGACCTGGACAGACTGTAGTTGGAGCACCAGGCCCCAGTGGCTTGTGGGTATTGTAGTCCTGTAGGCAAAAACAAGTCAATCACATGTTTTGTCTTTAAATATATGTAGATATTTTTACCTATAGAGAAAATATGTCTTACTTTGTATTATTACATGAATGTTTAAATTCTCTGCTGCTGTTTTTAAGTTAGAAATAAATGGTGTTTTAGACAAATCTAACCTTTTTTAGATAAAACCTCACTGGGGACAGATTTCCCATCATGTGGGCAGTTGTAAAATTACAGATATTACAAAAATATTCTACCTAAACTTCATTGAGGCCCTTTAACTGAGTGATACAAGTCCAGAAAAATGCAGAAAAACTCTTTCGTTATTTGCTTTGGTGACGAGGAAGAGTTCCAGGTTCAGGAACCAAAAGCAGGACTGTGAAGATCTCCCTAACCTGAACCAGGGACGATGCAGGAAATAAGAATAAATTATGTAAGAACCGGAAAAAATAAAAGAATACGATTCTCTAAAAACAAACTATCAACCCGAGTCACAAGGAAACGATAAAGGTCGATCATTCAGTAACCCAGAACCCCCATCCCGACATTTCTAAAGCTAAGTTAGCGCCTCCGTAGTGGATGGGAAACCTTATTTCTCTCCTCGATCTGGCACTTTTACTGACCAGGTAGCTGAAATTGAGCATTTGCTGGTGGTGAGACTAATGAAGGACCGTCTCATCTTTCTATGTGGGCAGATTCACCTCTTTAGGGTCATGTAGTATAGTCTCATTCTCCATCAAAGG